TCCCCGGAATAACCTCCAGGTAACCTCCAGGTAACCTCCAGTTAACCTCCAGGTAACCTCCAGTTAACCTCCAGGTAACCTCCAGGTAACCTCCAGTTAACCTCCAGGTAACCTCCAGGTAACCTCCAGGTAACCTCCAGTTCCCTGAATTAAGCATGAATGCCTTCCACATCCCCCCCCCAGGTGCTGTATAATCCTCCGGGCTTAGCGCTTCCCCCTTGATTATAATAATCCCTCTCGTGATTTCTGTTTTAACTTCCCAGTTATTGTCCTTCTGATAACTGAAGATAACTATCTCGCTCTCGCTATTTCTTTAGAGTTAGAAATAGCACACACATGCATACAATTATAGTTAAAAATAGCACATGTCCAGAAGTAGCACATAGGCCAGTAGGCCCATGCTAGGCAGATCCCTCTTAAAGCCAAGCCAATGTACAGAGATATTTCTCCAGCTCTCTCCCTTGTTGACATATTTCCCGACACATCTCTTATCGCTGGAGTTGTTGTGGGGAAGAGAGAGAGAAATAGTGCAAAGACCAGAAGTGGAAAAATAACTTAGTTGCAGAGATGAACTTAGTTGCAGAGATGAACTTAGTTGCAGAGATGAACTTAGTTGCGGAGATGAACTTAGTTGCAGAGATGAACTTAGTTGCGGAGATGAACTTAGTTGCAGAGATGAACTTAGTTGCAGAGATGAACTTAGTTGCAGAGATGAACGTAGTTGCAGAGATGAACTTAGTTGCAGAGATGAACTTAGTTGCAGAGATGAACTTAGTTGCAGAGATGAACTTAGTTGCAGAGATGAACTTAGTTGCGGAGATGAGCTTAGTTGCAGAGATGAACTTAGTTGCAGAGATGAACTTAGTTGCAGAGATGAACTTATTTCCCCGAGATAAATTTACTCAGGGTGAAACTTAGTTCAGATAATATCCCAGGATGAACTTAGTCAGAGTAATTTATTGCAAGTAATTAGTTGAAAATGAACCAAGTTCAAAAAAAAAATAGTTCAGGAGAAGGGAGAAAAAGGCTTTTTAAAAGGGGGGGGAAAACTTTAAAGGGAAGGGTTAAAGATATTTAGGGAAAAAAAATTTAATAAGGAGTGGGAAGAGAAAAAATAGTAAAGAAGAAAGGGGAAAAAATTTTTTGGAAAGAAAAAAAAAGGGAGAGTAAAATTAGTTTGGGGAAATAAAAAACTATTTTCGGAAGATAAGGGAAAGAAGACTAGTTGGAAAGTTAAGGGAGAGAAAAGATTGTTAAGGAATAGGGGAGAGAAAACTTTTGGGGAGAGTAAACTGTTAAAGGGAAATAACTAGTTGGGAAAGATTAGGAGAGAAGATTAGTTAGGAAGAATAAGGGGAGAAGACTTGTAAAGGAAAAAGACGTATAAGGAAGATAAGGGGAGAAGACTAGTTAAAAAAGAAAAGGGAGAGAGACTAGTTAGAGATGGGGGAGGTAAGATTGATAAGGGAAGAAATTTTTGGAAGATAAAGGGGGAGTAATTTTAGTTTGGGGAGGAAGACTAGTTGGGAAGTAAGCTAGTTAAGGGAAAGATAAGGGAGAGAAGACTTATTAAGGGAGAAAGGGAAGAGATTTTTGGGAGAAAAAGAAAGTGAGGGAGAAAGCAGATAAAAGTTGGGGAGAGAAGACTTGTTAAGGGATGAATTAGGGAGAGAAGATAGTAAGGAGATAAGGGAGGTAAGACGATAAGGGAGAAAAAGGGGAGAAAAGATATTAGGGAGAGTAAGACTATATAAGGAAAGGGGGGGTAAGATAGTTAAGGGAAGAAGGGGAAAGGGTAAGAAGGGTTAGGGAAGTAAGACTGTAAAAGGAAAGATAAGGGAGAGAAAGATAGTTAAGGAGAAAGGGGAAAGGAAAGTGTGAGGGGAAAAAGAAAGATAGTATAAGGAAGAAAAGGGGAAGAAAAACAATTAAGGGGAAGAAGGGAGAGAAAAGACTTGAAGGGGGGGAGAGATAGTATAAGGAAAGATAAGGGAAATAAGATGTAAAAGGGGAGATAAGGGGGGAGTAAGATAGTAAAAGGGGAGAAAGGGGGAGGTAAGATTTGTATAAGGGAAAGTAAGACTAGTAAAAGAAGAAAGGGAGAGTAAGATAGTTTAAGGGAGAGTAAACTAGTAAAAGGAAGTGGGGGAGAGTAAGGAAAAGTAAAAAGGAAAGATAAGGGGGAAAGATTTATAAGGGAGAGTAAGACTAGTATAAGGGAAAAAGCAGTAAAAGGGAAAGAAAAGGGAGGTAAGACTGTATAAGGGGGGAAAAGGGGAGAGTAAGATTTGTTAGGGAAAAAAATTTGAAGTATAAGGAAGAAAAAGGGAGAGTAAGTTGTAAAAGGGAGGAAGGTAGGTAAGACTTTTTAAAGGGGTGGGGAAAAAGCAGTATAAAGGGGAAGATAAAGGGAGGTAAGATAGTATAAGGAAGAAAAGGGAGGTAAACAGTAAAAGGGAGAAAAGGGGGAAGTAGAATGAAGGGGAAAAGTGACTAGTATAGGAAGTTAAAGAGAGTGATTTTGATAAGGGAGAAAAGGGAGAGAAAATGTAGGGGATTTAAACTAGTTAGGAAATAAGGGGAGTAAACTGTATAAGGGGGGGATTAAGGGGAAAAAGACTTTTTTTGGTAAAGGGAGAAAAAGTTTGGGGAAAGGGGAGTAAGACTGTATAAGGAAGTTTAAGGGGGAGTGCTAGTTGGGGGAAAGGGGAGAAGCTAGTGAAGGGAGGAAAGCTGTTTTTAGGAAGATAATGGGGTAAGTGTAAAAGGGGAAAAAGGGGGGAGTAAGATATTAAAGGGAGAGTAAAAAGAAAAATGGGGGGGGTCGGGGGGGGGGGAAAAAGTGTTGGTTAAAAGGGGGTGAATGTTTTTAAAGGGAGGAGGGTTGTTTGGGGGGAAAACGTTGGGTGGGGAGGGGGGGGGTTTTGGGAGGTTTTAGGGGGGGGAATTTTCTGGTGGGGGGGGGAAAAAATTTGGATTTGGTATTTTTGGGGGGGGGTGGGATTGTGGGACTTTTTGGGGGGGGTTTGAAAGGGAAATGGGTTTTTTAAAAAATAAAAGAAAAGAGGAAAAATAAAAAAGAAAAAGGAGAAAAATAAAAGAAAGGGGAAAAATAAAAAAACAAAAAAAAGGAGAGAAACAAAAAGGGAAAGGGAGAAAAATAAAAAAGAAAAAAAGGGGGAAAAATAAAAGAAACAGGGGGGAAGAAAAAATAAAAGAAAAGGGGGGAAAAAATAAAAGAAAGAGGGGAAAAAAAAAAGAAAGGGGAAAAAAAAGAAAGGGGAGAAAAAAAAAGAAAAAGGGAGAGCAAAAAAGAAAGGGAGAAAATAAAAGAAAAAAAAAAATTTTAAAACCCCCAAAACAAAAAAAAAAAAATAAAAAACCCCCCCCAAAAAATAAAAGAAAAAAAAATAAAAAAAAAAAAACCCCCAAACCCCCCCAAAAAAAATTAAAAAAAAAAAATTAAAAAAAAAACAAAATGGGGGGCCCTAAAAAAACCCCCCCAAAAAAACGGGGGTAAAAAAAAAACTAAAAAAACCCCCTTTCCCCAAAAAAAAAAAACCACCAAAAAACCCCTTTTTCCCCAACCCAAAAAAAATGGGGCCCCCCCCTCCCCTTTTGGGGGGCCCCCAAACCCCCCCCCCCCCAAAAACCCTCCCCTTTTCCCACCCAAAACCTCCCCCCCCCCCTTCCCTCCCCACCCCCCTTTTCCTCCCCCAAAAAAACCCTCCCCTTCTCCCCCCCCCCCCCTTTCCCCACCCCCCCCCTCCTCCCCCCTCCCCCTTTCCCCCCCCTCCCTTTATTTCCCCACCCCTTTTCCCATTCCCCACCCCCCCCCCCCCCACCCTCCCCTCCTCCCCAAACCTCCCCCCCCAAAAACCCCCCTTCCCCACCCTCCCCCCCCCACCCCTCCCCCCCCCCACCCCCCCCCTCCCACCCCTCCCCCCCCCCCCAACTCCCCACCCCACATCCCCCCCCACCCCCCCTTTTCCCCCACCCCCCCCCTTCCTCCCCACCCCCCCCCCCTCCCCCCTCCCGGGGCCCCCCCACCCCCCTCCCCCCCCCCCCCCCTTTCCCAACCCCCCCCCCTCCCCCCCCACCCCTTCCCCCCACCCCTCCCTTCTTTTCCCCCACCCCCCCCTCTTTTTCCCCCCCCCTCCCTTTTTCTCCCCCCCCCCCTTTTCTCTCCCCCACCCCCCTTCTTCCCCCCCACCCCCCCCTTTTCTCCCCCCCCCCCTCCCTTTTCTCCCCACCCCTCCCTTTCCCCACCCTCCCTTCTTCTCCCCACCCCCCCTTTTCCCCCCCCCCCTCCCTTCTTCTCCCCACCCCCCCCCCTTCTTCTCCCCCCCCCCTCCCTTCTTCCCCCCACCCCCCCCTTCTTCTCCCCCACCCCCCCCTTTTCTCCCCCCCCTCCCTTCTTCCCCCCCACCCCCCCCTTTTTTCCCCCCCACCCCCCCCCCTTTTTTCTCCCCCCCCCCCTCCCTTCTTCTCCCCCACCCCCCTTCTTCTCTCTCCCCACCCCTCCCCTCTTCTCTCCCCACCCCTCCCTCTCTCTCTCCCCACCCCTCCCCTCTTCTCTCCCCACCCCTCCCCTCTTCTCCCCCACCCCTCCCTTCTTCTCTCCCCACCCCTCCCTTCTTCTCCCCCACCCCTCCCCTCTTCTCCCCACCCCTCCCCTCTTCTCCCCCAGCCCTCCCTCTTCTCCCCATCCCTCCCTTCTTCTCTCCCCACCCTCCCTTCTTCTCTCCCCACCCCTCCTTTCTTCTCTCCCCACCCCTCCCTTCTTCTCTCCCCACCCCTCCTTCTTCTCTTCCCACCCCTCCCTTCTTCTCCCTCCACACCCTCCATTCTCTCCCCACCCCCCCTTCTTCTTCCCCACCCCTCCTCTCTTCTCTCCCTACCCCTTCCCCTTCTCTCCCCACCCCTCCCTTCTTCTCTCCCCACCCCTCCCTTCTCTCCCCACCCCTCCCCTTGGGGTAGGTAAGTAGGGAAGTACTTACCTAGGTGTTTGTGGGCATGAGGGTCGTTAGGTGCAAGTGCCACTGCCCGCCTCAACCACTGTTCCACCTCCTCCACTCTGCTACCCTGGGGGAGAACAACAGTCTGGTTGATCAGGTACACCGGGGAGATTGTTTAATCAGGTACCCTGGGGGAAAGAAACAGTCTTGTTGATCAGGTACATTGAGGGAGAGAAACAGTCTGGTTGATCAGGTACCCTGGGGAGAGTAACAGTCTGGTTGATCAGGTACACTGGGGAGAGTAACAGTCTGGTTGATCAGGTACACTGGGGAGAGTAACAGTCTGGTTGATCAGGTACACTGGGGAAAGTAACAGTCTGGTTGATCAGGTACACCGGGGAGAGCAACAGTGTGTTTGATCAGGTATGCTGGGGGAGACAATAATGACTCCTTCAATATTAATAGTCAGATCACTCTCACTCGTTCTCACTCCCACTCGTTCTCACTCATTCTCACTCCCACTCATTATTCGTCACACCTAGGTGGTATCTGCCAGGCACCACCAGTAGTGTTTACACTGTGTCTGCCAGGCACCAACAGTAGTGTTTACACTGTGTCTGCCAGGCACCAACAGTAGTGTTTACACTGTGTCTGCCAGGCACCACCAGTAGTGTTTACACTGTATCTGCCAGGCACCACCAGTAGTGTTTACACTGTCTGCCAGGCACCACCAGTAGTGTTTACACTGTATCTGCCAGGCACCACCAGTAGTTTTTTACACTGTATCTGCCAGGCACCACCAGTAGTGTTTACACTGTGTCTCCAGGCACCACCAGTAGTTTTTTACACTGTATCTGCCAGGCACCACCAGTAGTGTTTACACTGTCTGCCAGGCACCACAGTAGTGTTTACACTGTGTCTGCCAGGCACCACCTAGTAGTGTTACACTGTGTCTGCCAGGCACCACCAGTAGTGTTTACACTGTCTGCCAGGCACACCAGTAGTGTTTACACTGTCTGCCAGGCACCACCAGTAGTGTTTACACTGTCTGCCAGGCACCACCAGTAGTGTTTACACTGTCTGCCAGGCACCACCAGTAGTGTTTACACTGTGTCTGCCAGGCACCACCAGTAGTGTTTACACTGTGTCTGCCAGGCACCACCAGTAGTGTTTACACTGTCTGCCAGGCACCACCAGTAGTGTTTACACTGTCTGCCAGGCACCACCAGTAGTGTTTACACTGTGTCTGCCAGGCACCACCAGTAGTGTTTACACTGTGTCTGCCAAGCACCACCAGTAGTGTTTACACTGTGTCTGCCAGGCACCACCAGTAGTGTTTACACTGTATCTGCCAGGCACCACCAGTAGTGTTTACACTGTGTCTGCCAGGCACCACCAGTAGTGTTTACACTGTCTGCCAGGCACCACCAGTAGTGTTTACACTGTCTGCCAGGCACCACCAGTAGTGTTTACACTGTCTGCCAGGCACCACCAGTAGTGTTTACACTGTGTCTGCCAGGCACCACCAGTAGTGTTTACACTGTCTGCCAGGCACCACCAGTAGTGTTTACACTGTCTGCCAGGCACCACCAGTAGTGTTTACACTGTCTGCCAGGCACCACCAGTAGTGTTTACACTGTCTGCCAGGCACCACCAGTAGTGTTTACACTGTCTGCCAGGCACCACCAGTAGTGTTTACACTGTGTCTGCCAGGCACCACCAGTAGTGTTTACACTGTCTGCCAGGCACCACCAGTAGTGTTTACACTGTCTGCCAGGCACCACCAGTAGTGTTTACACTGTCTGCCAGGCACCACCAGTAGTGTTTACACTGTGTCTGCCAGGCACCACCAGAAGTGTTTACACTGTGTGCCAGGCACCACCAGTAGTGTTTACACTGTCTGCCAGGCACCACCAGTAGTGTTTACACTGCCAGGCACCACCAGTAGTGTTTACACTGTCTGCCAGGCACCACCAGTAGTGTTTACACTGTCTGCCAGGCACCACCAGTAGTGTTTACACTGTCTGCCAGGCACCACCAGTAGTGTTTACACTGTCTGCCAGGCACCACCAGTAGTGTTTACACTGTATGCCAGGCACCACCAGTAGTGTTTACACTGTCTGCCAGGCCCCAAACCAGTAGTGTTTACACTGTCTGCCAGGCACCACCAGTAGTGTTTACACTGTCTTCCAGGCACCACCAGTAGTGTTTACACTGTCTGCCAGCACCACCAGTAGTGTTTACACTGTCTGCCAGGCACCACCAGTAGTGTTTACACTGTCTGCCAGGCACCACCAGTAGTGTTTTACACTGTCTGCCAGGCACCACCAGTAGTGTTTACACTGTCTGCCAGGCACCACCCAGTAGTGTTTACACTGTCTGCCAGGCACCACCAGTAGTGTTTACACTGTCTGCCAGGCACCACCAGTAGTGTTTACACTGTCTGCCAGGCACCACCGTAGTGTTTACACTGTGTCTGCCAGGCACCACCAGTAGTGTTTACACTGTCTGCCAGGCACCACCATTAGTGTTTACACTGTCTGCAGGCACCACCAGTAGTGTTTACACTGCCAGGCACCACCAGTAGTGTTTACACTGTCTGCCAGGCACCACCAGTAGTGTTTACACTGTATCTGCCAGGCACCACCAGTAGTGTTTACACTGTGTCTGCCAGGCACCACCAGTAGTGTTTTACACTGTGTCTGCCAGGCACCACCAGTAGTGTTTACACTGTCTGCCAGGCACCACCAGTAGTGTTTACACTGTGTCTGCCAGGCACCACCAGTAGTGTTTACACTGTGTCTGCCAGGCACCACCAGTAGTGTTTACACTGTGTCTGCCAGGCACCACCAGTAGTGTTTACACTGTGTCTGCCAGGCACCACCAGTAGTGTTTACACTGTGTCTGCCAGGCACCACCAGTAGTGTTTACACTGTGTCTGCCAGGCACCACCAGTAGTTTTTCACTGTGTCTGCCAGGCACCACCAGTAGTGTTTACACGGGTGTCTGCCAGGCACCACCAGTAGTGTTTACACTGTCTGCCAGGCACCACCAGTAGTGTTTACACTGTGTCTGCCAGGCACCACCAGTAGTGTTTACATTGTGTCTGCCAGGCACCACCAGTAGTGTTTACACTGTCTGCCAGGCACCACCAGTAGTGTTTACACTGTCTGCCAGGCACCACCAGTAGTGTTTACACTGTGTCTGCCAGGCACCACCAGTAGTGTTTCCCACTGTATCTGCCAGGCACCACCAGTAGTGTTTACACTGTCTGCCAGGCACCACCAGTAGTGTTTACACTGTATCTGCCAGGCACCACCAGTAGTGTTTACACTGTCTGCCAGGCACCACCAGTAGTGTTTACACTGTCTGCCAGGCACCACCAGTAGTGTTTACACTGTCTGCCAGGCACCTCCAGTAGTGTTTACACTGTGTCTGCCAGGCACCACCAGTAGTGTTTACACTGTCTGCCAGGCACCACCAGTAGTATTTACACTGTCTGCCAGGCACCACCAGTAGTGTTTACACTGTGTCTGCCAGGCACCACCAGTAGTGTTTACACTGTCTGCCAGGCACCACCAGTAGTGTTTACACTGTGTCTGCCAGGCACCACCAGTAGTGTTTACACTGTGTCTGCCAGGCACCACCAGTAGTGTTTACACTGTGTCTGCCAGCACCACCAGTAGTGTTTTACACTGTCTGCCAGGCACCACCAGTAGTGTTTACACTGTGTCTGCCAGGCACCACCAGTAGTGTTTACACTGTATCTGCCAGGCACCACCAGTAGTGTTTACACTGTCTGCCAGGCACCACCAGTAGTGTTTACACTGCCAGGCACCACCAGTAGTGTTTACACTGTCTGCCAGGCACCACCAGTAGTGTTTCCCACTGTCTGCCAGGCACCACCAGTAGTGTTTACACTGTCTGCCAGGCACCACCAGTAGTGTTTACACTGTCTGCCAGGCACCACCAGTAGTGTTTACACTGTGTCTGCCAGGCACCACCAGTAGTGTTTACACTGTCTGCCAGGCACCACCAGTAGTGTTTACACTGTATCTGCCAGGAACCACCAGTAGTGTTTACACTGTGTCTGCCAGGCACCACCAGTAGTGTTTACACTGTATCTGCCAGGCACCACCAGTAGTGTTTACACTGTCTGCCAGGCACCACCAGTAGTGTTTACACTGTGTCTGCCAGGCACCACCAGTAGTGTTTACACTGCCAGGCACCACCAGTAGTGTTTACACTGTATCTGCCAGGCACCACCAGTAGTGTTTACACTGTGTCTGCCAGGCACCACCAGTAGTGTTTACACTGTGTCTGCCAGGCACCACCAGTAGTGTTTCCACTGTGTCTGCCAGGCACCACCAGTAGTGTTTACACTGTATCTGCCAGGCACCACCAGTAGTGTTTACACTGTATCTGCCAGGCACCACCAGTAGTGTTTACACTGTATCTGCCAGGCACCACCAGTAGTGTTTACACTGTATCTGCCAGGCACCACCAGTAGTGTTTACACTGTATCTGCCAGGCACCACCAGTAGTTTTTTACACTGTATCTGCCAGGCACCACCAGTAGTGTTTACACTGTCTGCCAGGCACCACCAGTAGTGTTTACACTGTATCTGCCAGGCACCACCAGTAGTGTTTACACTGTATCTGCCAGGCACCACCAGTAGTGTTTACACGGTGTCTGCCAGGCACCACCAGTAGTGTTTACACTGTCTGCCAGGCACCACCAGTAGTGTTTACACTGGGTCTGCCAGGCACCACCAGTAGTGTTTACACTGGGTCTGCCAGGCACCACCAGTAGTGTTTACACTGTCTGCCAGGCACCACCAGTAGTGTTTACACTGTGTCTGCCAGGCACCACCAGTAGTGTTTACACTGTCTGCCAGGCACCACCAGTAGTGTTTACACTGTCTGCCAGGCACCACCAGTAGTGTTTTACACTGTCTGCCAGGCACCACCATAGTGTTTTACACTGTCTGCCAGGCACCACCAGTAGTGTTTACACTGTATCGCCAGGCACCACCAGTAGTGTTTACACGGTGTCTGCCGGGAAACCACCAGTAGTGTTTACACTGTCTGCCAGGCACCACCAGTAGTGTTTACACTGGGTCTGCC